GGAGATGAAAGATGACCTGAAGGGTAACACCTTCCAATAATATTATTGGTTAAGTCTGTGTGGTGTCTGAATAACAGGGCAAAAAAATTTTTTTTCGTAAAAAATTTCATTTTTTTGAAAATTTTGGCCCATTTGACCTTGAAGTAAAGGTGAAAGGTCAAATCCAAGGGTATATTTGAAATCTACACATATGACTTTTGGAAAGCCGTCTATAGAAATTTTTCCCATAACTCCTTCCGTAGGGTAGATAATTAGCATTTAATTTTGCCATTTTTAGACAAGGGTGCATTGTAATGAGTGCCACACCCAGACCCCAATATCGACAAAGCCCAAATTTTACGTGGAACGAGTTGAGATTAAAGGTGACCTAAATCCATGAGATGGGTACGGGGGCCCTTACCGTCTAGGAGGAGAAGTGGTAACGGTAGCCGTCCGGCGGAGCCGGCGGAACGATCCGGACGGGACCGCTGGTGGTACAATAAAACAAACAACATTTTATCAATAACTTTTTATTAACACGTACCATAAAATACCTTTTACAACATATGAAATATAAAGATTTGAATAATACCACTTCCTTTATTAAACAACAGGGTATGGCACTGAAAAGAATTAAGCAAAGAAACTGAAAAGCCACTCACTTTTTACATGTATATTTGTTGAATTAGATATAGATACTTTCTGCATGATCAATTTTTTTATACTAGGAAATTTGCAAAATAAATAAATAAATAAATAAATAATAAATAAATAAATAAACAGGTCTCAAAATGCAGTTACTTCGAAAAATAATGAAGAGTTCAAAGTTAATAAGGTTCAAATGCAATAATAATTGTGCGTGCACACACACACATACTCACACGTGCAATCTAATGTTCCAATATGACCATATATATTTAGAATGATTTCACAGTTATATTGCAATGTGTATTACTATATTAATGATCACCTTTTTCTGGATTTAGGAAATATTGTAAAAATTTAAGTTAGCAGCACAAATCTGATATGATTGATCTACAGTACTGTACATATATCAGTAGTAAACCAAAGTGGATTTAGTGTATCAAAGTAAAATTATATATGACAGTCCTATTGAACCATATCTGCTAATAAAAATCAATCTCAGTGCTTTTTGTTATAACAAGGAATACATTACTTAGTCAAAAAAGCAAAATGATTCATAATTGGATTTTTTTCTAGATCCTTTTTATGGATTATTTTGTAGGCTATGTCTCTGAATCATTATTTGCATTGGAACCTAAAGGTCGATGTCTAACACTGTTGGTTGGATCTGGTTCACCAAAGTCTTTTCCTTCCAGCTCCTGAACACAAAGAAAAAGTAAAATCCATAAAATATCATGCTTATTCTAATTTTTATATAATAAAAGGATGACTAGTACCAATAAACAAATGATATAGGACACTGTGGGTTAACCTAGTTAATTTAAATAAGACACTGATTTTACAACAAAGTAACTATAACCATCAAAACTTTTTGAACACTGATAGCATCATGGGTGTGCAGTATATAAAATATAATTTGAGCTTTGTTAGTCTTCTACATGTATATACAGATATAAGGCATCATGCTAGAGGGTGCATTGCTATATATTAATGAACAAATAAAATATTTTGCTACTTCCAACTTGATTCTTTCATGCCCAGGAATATCTTTGTCAAAGGTATACATATAAAGAGACACATACTTTAGGGTAACACATTTTTTTCAATGGATGAATTTAACTATTTCTTTATTCCTGTGATTTAGCTAGATTACCACTGATATTTATCCAACCATGCACAATTCTGGGAGTCATGCTGCACAATTAGGGAACTTAAACTACAGTACATTTGTTAGTAAATAAAACAAGGATGTAAAATAAAAAAATATATTTCATAAATAAAATCCTCATTAAAATATGCCTTTACCAAATTTCAGAAAAAAAGTATCTGAAAGTGGTCAGGTTAATTATTCTTCAAGTGGAATTAAGTAGCAATATGTAATCAAAACAGCTGCCAAGATAGTAATAGATACAAAACAAAGAATGAGGTGTCTAGAGTAGTGGAAACATCTATAAAAGAAATTCATCAGACCATCTACCATATCTTACCGGTGATAGAACCTGTGATAAATGCAAGAACAAATTTAATCAATGACCTTTTTGTGTGATCACACGTTGATTGCTAATCTGGTACTTTAAAATTTATTGAGTACGTAACAACTCTAAAAAAGACAGACTTTCATCTATGATTTTTCATTTTACAAATAGTAAATCAAGTAAAACCTTCACCAAAATAAGCCCTTCCATTGAAAAAAATTACCAAATTATAAAGAAAAGAAAAAGGAAGTACTGAGTAATCAATGAAACCCCTGTTCAGAAAAATATTTAAAAAAAGACTTCAATTACTTATTATTTGTCTATAGGAAATGTTCTCCATACACACCTGATATGAGACATCCATTTCGTCTACATTCTGATATTTTTTCTCACGATAGAAACTACGATACTTCAGGAAATAAAGAACCACTATGTCACTTAGCACTGTAGACTGAAACCCAAAACAATAAACATGTAGTTAAACAAATGGAAATGAAATTCCATACCTTAATTGACATAGTCCCACTTTTAACTTATATTACTCTAAAACTAAAACATCAACTATGGCTTTTTGCTTGGGATGAAAACACATATAAGCTCACCAGTGTTAACAATCCTAACCCAGCACCAATGTTGAGAAGCATAGGGACTATGTTGAACTTGCCAGCTTTTCCAGTAATAGTGATGATAAATCGTATACCATAGGCCTTGTACAATGTTCTTGTATTCACACCGTCTACAACATAAAAATCTGCATATCTGAAACAATAGAAGTTATATGAGAAAACAAAGAAAAATAATTTTGCATGTTCATTTTATAAACTTTTTTCAGCACTATTATATAGTTGCCCAGTTCTCAAGATTGAGCAGGGCAGTCCCAACATGATGACTAAATGTTCCCACAAACTGCATCCTACATATACAGTTGTAATGTAACAACCAAGGGGATGTTTGACAGTGAAACCAAACAGGGTAACACCTATTCTGTTAACTTGATTATGTTGCGGGTACAATTAAATTTAAATCCAGGCTGATCTATACTTTCATGAAGACAAACCAGCGGTAGATTAATGGACTAACAATGACATACAGTGTGCAGAGTAGGAAATATACAAACAAACAAGCGATGAAAAAGTTCAACAAAAATGAGATGTATTTAAATTTGCTTTATATCTCTTTCACACATACTAATATGAAACAATGATCTCATTAGTCAGTGGTCTATACAGGAATACATTCTACCTATTTGAATTTTCCTACAGAGTTACTCATTTTTAAAGTTTACCTACTTCACAAAGAAATCTTGCTAAATACCTTTAAATTCATTTTTCAATTTACCTGAAATTCCAACCAGGTGAAACTGTTTCATTTTTATCCACCCTGGAGATGGTGTATGTTGGTCTGCAGTTAGTCTCTGCATAGTCTAGGTTACAGTCCCAATTGATGTTGATATCAATTACACCACCCTACCATGAAAAGACATATAAAAGCATTTTTTACTTATAAACCATTGCTTAACCCATCCCTGCATTTAAAGAGAATCTCGTATTAAATACCTTAGGTCTAAACAAATCACGATTCATTTGGGCAGCTATATCCTCCTGATATTTCAGAGGGAAATATCTATTAACATCAAATACTTTTATTTGAGGGGTTTTATCAAAAACAAAAACATGAAAGGTCTAATTTAGGATAGATATGAAGACTTAAGGCTAATTCCCAATGAAACTATCATTCTACATAGATCTATCCAACTTTGCAGGGACTTTCACCGAAACCAATCAGCTTTACACACCTCCTCCTGGTGTGAGTAGAATACGGAAAAGATGGTGAAAACAAGAGGAGGCATGTCAATGTATTGACCTGATGGATGGATGGATGTAGATGGATGGACCTAAGTAGAAAGTACTGAACCATATGTACTGGTAGATTATTTATTGGTAGTGCAGGCTGACCAAAGCAGAACACTATAACTGTACCTTGTATGCCATGACAAGATAGTCTTCTCCAGCTGCAGAAATAAGGTCTTCCAGTCTAAAGATTGGGCAGTAGGGATCTTTATCCCGACTCCAGCGGCATTTGGACAGATATTTGTCCTTTTTAATCCAATCTGGAATGTTTCGTCTAAGAAGACAATAGCGATTTTAAATAAATGATGGATGTATGCTATACTCTGCTGAAAATTGCTAATCTGTCTTTTTAAAAAAAAAGAGTTATCTTGTAATCAAATATCAATGCATGAATAAATTCAAATTTTTATAAAATAACTTCATTTAATTACACCAATAATTGTTTCAACACTAGTAAGCTCATCCTGCATCAAAAATCCTTAATGAAATAACTTTAAATGTTTGCAATGAATTGTACAACAGTTTGGATCAAAACACTAGCTTATGACTCTTGCTAGGTTTTTTAGTACCTTCTGACATTAAATTTTGGAAAATAAACATAATTCTTGATGAGAACAGTGAAGTCTTTGGAGTCTGTTAAAACAGGGGAATCCTTCCTGGAAAAACACAGATATGATGCTGAATAAAACAAATGTTTCAGCTCTCAACAATCTATATAATTATAAGTCATTACATATAGGTTTTTCAAGAAAATAACAGTAAATTACAAGTTTTCAAACAAATAAGTGTATACATGTGTATTTGTATACGTATAACCATCCTCACAAAGGAAACTTAGACATTGCCAATGAACATCTTCTGTAAGGAACTTACAGAGGTGGTTCATCTATCTCTACAGGACACCAAGCATGGATTTCACAGGAATTTGTAGCCTTGTTACACACTCCAGTCATAACACCTAGGGAACAAGAAATATTACATCCATAATACCTTTTCAAATAAATAAAGTATCATATGATTAAAAAATTTTATGCGCTAAGTTTTGCAATCACTGCTAGAAGTGCTAATTTAAATTATCTTAAAGAAGAAGCTTTGGTTATAACTGATTGGTGGGATCTAATATGAATTAAAGTATTCAAACCCAATACAGTGAATGATTTAACCAAGATTCTTTTACTTCAGTATTTGCTCCAGTATTTGCAACTTAGAGTTTGGATGAATTTATGCAGTAGCTGATATGTCTACAATGAAAAGTCACTAAAACCTGAACTTACCACTTCCCACAGGAACTGGCATATCTTTTGTGCATTCTGAATCATCAGTGCATGGTGCAAGTTCAGGGTCCTACAGACATACAACAGCTGTGCTGAATAATCTACATACAATTATCATCGGGCATGCAAATGTGTGAATTGGAATTGCAAGAAGTGAAGGAAGAAACAAAATTGACAAATTTTCTGGGTGTTTTTCACAATTTTCTAGCATTTGGTGAGCACTTTCCTATTGATATTGAACCATATAAAAACAAATTATTGACAAAGTTTTAAAGATCACATTTTTCCTGAAGTTAAGTAAACAGTAACATTCACTCCTTGCATTTTCATTTTACATGAGTATCCAACCAAATCTGAGATGATGACAATCCCTTTTAATGATGGTACACTGTGTTCTACTGCTGTAACAGCAGGAACATCCTACAGCTGCAACCAGTCTTTTTTTTTCAGATCTTTAAGTTAAATGGAACTAAGTCATCCCTGGTTAGTATCCTTATATCCTGGAGTTTCTTTGCAATTTAAAACAATTCTAGACCTGCATCTTTGGTATCTGCTCTTTGAGCAGAATGGTAAAAGGTTTACCAGATTTGCATTTTATTGGAGTCAGGACCCTAAAATAAGAACTGTGGTTCCAAGGCCAATGACTGCCATAGGAGCTGCCCAGCTGCTACAATTGTATGCTAGTATTACTGACTGTAGTCAAAGTTTTTAACAATCCCTTTAAATGCCCATTTGATTGTTGTTTCTAGATCTTATTCACTTAAAATTTGTAATTTTTCACCATAAATTATCTTTAAGTAGAAGGTGTTTCAATTTGACTGAGAACAATTGAAAATCTTACCTCTCCACAGACCCCTTGTGTTTGGTTAGGAGTGATAATCATGTTGGTCATCACAAAAAAAGCATCTTTTTCCTGAAAAAATCACCAAAATACTAGTACACAGATTTGGTAAAGCTTTATTTTGAAACCAAACAATGATATTGTTTTACTGGTTTTTCCTTTATCAAGATTTTTTCATACCAGTTAAAACTGAATTAACAATAATAACAATAACTGTCAATAACAATGGCACTGATAACACATTTAACAAGAGACCTGATTCTTTGAAATCATGTTAGCTGCCCAGCCTTCAAAAATTAAAATTATAACTGTACCTGGGGTGGAATGACATAGTCCGCCACATCCCATATTCTGGCACCTATTGAGGGCACCTTAGTGATGTTTGTGAAGTCTACACCTTTAAGTTTTGTTGTAGCTGCACTGATTGGTATGTCAGTATCTTGGTAACCTTTTTTTATAACAATAACCCATCTGAAACAATAAAAACATATATGGATAAGTCCACTTTTTAATCCACTGATACCAGCTGTGATGCGGCCATGTAAAATACAGTCTGTACATATCTGGTGTATGGAAGGTACACATGACAACATGCCGTGGGTGCAGAACTGAAACAACTGAGGGAACCATTCAACACGCAGTTCATGACAGAGAGGAGTGGTAAATCTTTATCGGTACCTTAGATGCCAGCTGGTGTAAATGGGATTGAAAAAGAAACTGTCTAAGGGGGAGATTGTTGTATTCATTGCAATGATAAAATATTCAACAAAATGAACAAAGACAAATATTGTTTTAAGTGTACTGGTAAATGGACAATTCACTATATTTTGCAGGTTATTTAACATGTGAAAATAAACAACTGTACTAGTAATCTGCTTTTCTTCCTTGCTGTGTGCATTTGCCTGTGATATTGAATTTGCTGATCGAGATATTAATGCATTTTTTTAAATGGAAATATTTCTTTTAATAGGGAAATGATGATTTTGAACAGCATAGCAATTTGGGCAACCTATATACTCCTGCCATATTGTTCATATGTTAACTTTTTAATGAAATCAATAGGAAGTATGAATGACAAGATCAAGGCAATCTTCAGTGTTCCTAAATTGTGCAAAGCAGCGCAATACACTTGAAAAAAGTGTCCAGTTGCAATTAAACAAAGGAAATGGTCATTTCTAACAAAATAGGATGATAAAAAGGAAAATATATGTGAGTTATTAATTTTTTTGATATAACTTAAAGAAATTGGCGAGACTTGTATATTGTTGAGACGGCAGTCATGTTGGCGAGCTGCTCCTCTTGGCATTGTTTACTACAGGCCAAGATTCGAAGACCCACTCCCCAACAAGCCAGCCAACCTGACGATATAAACAAATTGTGCTGATTTGTTTAGTTTTATCAACAAAATTAATTACCTAGTAATATATTTCACTTTTATATCACCCTATTTTGTTTGACCATTTCCCATGTTAATTTACTTGTGACTGGATTAATTTTTCAAGTGTATTGTGCTGTAATGCACAATTTAGGGACATTGTGCAATCTTTGCCCTGATCAGAGTGACCATGCCCAGATAGCAAAGAGTGGTCGCGCCAACGTCGGCCCGACGACTTTGCCTCCGTCGGGCCAACGTTGGCAGACGACGTCGGTTCGAAGTCGGCGTGTCCGGCGGCCCGCCGTCGGCCCACCGGTGGTCTGCCACCCTTTTGCCAACGTCGCACCGACGCTGGGCCGACGTCATTATGGATAAACGGCGGTCAGCCGCTGTCATGCCGACAATTTGCCAACTTCGCGCCAACGTCGGGCCAACGTCGTTATGAGCTATTACTATCGGCGGTTAGCCGCTGTTATGCCGACCTTTTGCCGACGT